TAGAGGTTGTAGCTAATAAACATAGCTGGACTGAATTGGCATTGTCTCTTGGAGTTCCTTGGGCTAGGCCTGACAGTTGTGTAGCAACCTCTCTGCCTGGGCTTCTTGACTCTGTCTCAGGGTTGGCAGTGGCGTTCCCCAAGGTTATGGTCCTGAGAGGACTTCAGTCTGCCTTCCCTGGGAGTGGGGTCTGAGATGGTTCAGGAGTTCATGGCCACCATGGCGGCCATGGGCCTATCGCAGATCATCCAGGGCCCAACTCGGGACAGTGGTCACACTCCTGATCTGTTTTCCTTGTTGGAGCAGTGGCAGTGTGCTTTGGAATTGGGGGAGCTCTCTGTCATGCTCAGACCATGCCATGGTAACCATGAGATTCTCTGGCACTGCCCCCTGCCACAAGGAGGTGGGACCTATTAGATCGGTCTACCCCTGGTGACTGATGGTCCCAGATGGGTTCCAGAGGGAGCTGGATTGTGTGGAGGAATTTGCAGAGCATCTATCGGACAAAATCGCTCAAATTAGTTCCCAGTTGGATGCCAGCTTTGATACTGGTCCAATGGAGATGCCCGGGGTACAGTCTTGCCCAGTTATCTGGGAATGGTTTGAACCTGTTGGGCCTGAGTAAGTGGACAGGGTTCTTACGACCGTGAGCTCAGCCACCTGCTCCTTAGATCCATGCCCCTCCTGGCTAGTTAAGGCTGCCTGGGAGGTGTTGTGTGGTTGGGTTCTAGCGATGGTTAATTCCTCTTTGAGAGAGGGGTCATTCCACTGCCCCTTAAGGAGGCATTGGCTTGTCCCTCCTCAAGAAGCCATTGCTGGTTCCCACCCTACTGGACAATTTTAGTTAGACAATGTCTAACCTCCCTTTTTAAGGGAAGGTTGTGGAGAAGGTGGTTGTGCAATACCTTTGGCAGGCCCTGGATGAAGGGGATTATCCGGATCCGTTCCAGTCGGGATTCAGGCCTGGGCACGGGATGGAGACACCATTGGTCGCCCTTCTAGGTGATCTCTGGTGGGAGCGGGACAGGGGTAGTGCATCTCTCTTTGCTCTTCTTCACCCCTCTGCGGCCTTCAATACCATCAAGGAATTTTCCTCTCTTCCCTCCCCCCCCGCCCCCTTTTTGCAAATTGCAGTAAAAATAACCTTATTCATATTGCTCAGTTTATTGCTCAGGTCACAATTTAGTAATCTGCCCGATTACGCATTTTCTCAAATGCTGCATCTCAACCCTGGACACTTTTAAGCACATCAACTCATGAATTTAAGGTGTTATTTTGGGAGATTCTAAGCATTTTAGATGATGAATTTATGCTGTAAAAATATAAATGACAGCAGAAATTGTTATCATGGGTACCATAGTAAAAGCCCTAAATCTGAAGAGGCTGGGAGAGAAAAAACAATAGCTCTCTCCTCGTTGCTCCAGAATTTGACATATGTGGGAACTCAACAGTGAAAGTTCCCATGCGCTGGGAATTGCTTAAGACTCTGATAAATACGGAGCAGATTTTGACATGAACAGGAATCAGATTGCATTTAGTTGCAATGACATCATCTCTTTTTGCTCCCAAGGTGCAGCGTGGAAGCAAAATGAGGCTTTATTTCCCCACCCACTGATTGTCCTTTGATAACCTGCCCTCGACCTCCTCTCTCAGGTCAGCAAACTGAGTTTTACAAGGAACAGCAGGGCCACTTCTAGGCCTAGCAACCTAGGCCAGTGTTGTCCAAACTTGGCCACTTTAAGATGAGTGGACTTCAACTCCAGTCGTGGGAGGCAAGGCACACAGGGGGATAGG